ACCGCCAATTTTTTTCTCATCACAGGTTTTAATCCAAAACAATCTTTACTTTAAAAATTATGACACGCGACGAGGTCCTAAAGAAACGCAAAACTGACAGATATTTGTAATGCAGAGAAGCTAAGTTGACAAGTTCTGGCACAATTTTGAGGCAAAATCAGGTTTAGGCCACCGTGGCGTAAAAATGCCATCATTTCTCGAAGAGGGCTGTGATGAAGTAAATTGCTCTTGAGATTTGTTTTGAAGTGTTTCATCGAAGCCAGAATCTAAGCTGCATCCAGTGAAAGTCGTTGATACCGTACCCTGGGTGAAATCTGGAAGCAGCCAAACAGATTTTAGTTTGAATGACGAAATTTGCTCCCGCCTCTTCCTTCCACTGCATCCAGCTGCAGACTTTTTGCAAACAAAAGTGAACTGCATGGATATGTGTGAGATGCATCATTGGATTCATACATAAAAGTTAAATCCCATAGGCAGCACATGTTGCTTGCCAAGCTAAGAAACGGTGGACGCGCCGCGCTATTGGGGGTGTGATATTTACGAGAAAGAAAGAACAGATTAGCCGTCTTCGACGAGATTAGCCGTTAAGGTTAAGGGATCTGACGCAGCTGACGTAGGCTTCCAACACCGATTGCCAGTGTAGTCTTGGTATTACTGACGTATGCACCCATGTAGTTATAACCAGTACGAGCTCTGAGTGGAGCTCCAGTGCAGCTGAGGTGCATCTAAATGCAATATTTTAGTAAATGGCATACTTCCGCCATTTTTCTCCATTTGCTGCATCTGCCGCTGCCTCAGTGCCTGACTGCTGTACTGTTCGGCGTCTTGAGTGTAGATGTTCGGCGGAAGAAAGAATTCGTTGAACTCTCGCATTGCCCTGCTACTGATTTGCCGTTTGAGGCTTCCTATAGCTCGTCCCTGCAAAACCCAAAAGTTTAAGAAGAATCTATTAAAATTACGATAGTTTTTTTATCGTAAATGCTCAACAAGCTCATATGTCAAAACCTTTCCCGTACTCAGTCTCTGCGAGAGGCTGAAATCATTTGCAAGTAACTCACATAGTAAAAGTGCAACTAATCGCTCGCAAGTCATTGGCTTTTTCTTTTCAAAGGTTCTCAGGTGCAAGCTGACGGCGCATTTGCCAGTACCAGCTTACCACTGTTACGAATGAACATCGTTCATCGTCAAGAAATTGGTTATCGCCACAGCGGAGCTGTAAGCTAAGTCCGATGTCTGATTTAGCAATAAGCAAATTCAGAATCTATCTTAGTTAAGAACACTGTGGAATCGTTTTGTGTGGGTTGCAGGACAAATGAGCTGAGAGGGGCAAATGTGACTTCGGCGCCGTTTGTATTGTAGAAGCAACAGCTTCCTAGAAGAGAGTGAATGGTGAGAAGTCTCTGTTCTAAGACTAAAGGGAAATGCTTTTTTGAAATTAAGAAAAAACTGTATACAGATGATAGATCCTCTTGAGAGCCGAAATAATTTCGAGCACCCAACTTCCTTTTTCGCCGTACTTCCTTCAATCTGTTCTCTTCCTGTAGAAAAAAAAAACAATTTTTTATCCTTTATTCAGTTTGACCGTTTTGAGCGTTTCCTTTCACTACATTGGTATTACTTCATCTTTTTAGGGTAAAATTTACGATGATTTACAGTACTGAATGTGCAAATTAAGCGTAAAGCAACCATTCGTGCATAGTTAACGACCAGACTACTCCAAGATTAGCGCAAAAACATTTTGCACCGGCAAACCTGGGCGTTGCTACCTGGGTATTACTTATGTGTCGACAGAATAAGAACCATTAATTTGGCAATTCCTACAACAGACGAAACGAACGTCAAACAAGAAACAGTATGCCGACTGCTACGGAATGCAACACTGCAAAAGCAGCAGGGAAAATTGTCAGCTACATAGTGGAACAGTTAAAAGTGTTTTCTCCCAGAAATTTTCATTAAAAATTTCTCTCTTGCTCCTCCTCATCAATT